ATTCACTTCTTTTTAAACTTCCAACAAATGAAGTACTTTGTCAAGAAGGCTTTACAGATGAATTTTGCCAAATTTCAATGAAATGATTATCCCAAATGAATAGAGTAAAAAAAAAAATGACTAAATGTTCAAAAAGATAAGTTCTTCCTGTCCAAGTTGAGTTTATCTCAGAAATTAAAGTGTGGTTTAATATTAGAATATCCATAAATATGATTGACTTTAAAGGAAAAAAATCATGAGATTTTTCTCAAGAGATTCAGAAAACCCTGATCAGATTTCAAAACAAGAACTACAAACTAATTGAACCCTCTACACCTAAATGGGAAACTAGGGACAAAGGGACTCCTCTTAACCTAATGGGATTTAACTCCTTGTCAGTACAAGCAAGAGATGAAAAGTGTAACAATTGTAATGGAAGAAATTAAGCTGTCCTTATGGCTCTCTATCGATAATAAAGGAATGTATAGAAAAACTGTCAAATAAAAATTATTAATGGCATATATAAAAATTATATTTTTATACATTAGTTACAAACCATTAGAAATCATAATTTTAAAGGAAGGACACCATTTGTAATAGCAACAGAAAGATAAGGTTAAGAGCTTATCTAACAAAAGATGTCCAACACCTGAATGGAAAAAATGAGATTTTTTCCAAAATACTTTTTAAAAGACTCAAGTTAATGAAGAGCCACATCATGTTCATAGATAAAGAGATTCAAAATTGTAAAGGTATCAATTTAAAATTCTAATAGTCCCTTTCAAAGAACCTTAAGTCTATTCTAAAATATAAATGAAAGAGCAAAGGCCCAAGAATATCAAAGACATTTCCAAAAAAGAGATATAAGACATAAGCCATGATAAATAAGACAGTGTTATTGCTGCAAATGTGGATAAATTGATCAAATGGACCAAAATAGCCCCCAAACAGATCAACACATATATGGCCACTTGAAATCCCAACAGGGTAACTTTGCAGACTAATGGAGAAAGGATGGGGAAAAAGTGGATTGAATTCCCACCTCATAACATTCAAAAACATTGATTTCATCAAGGGATAAATGGATTTTAAGAATGTAGTAAATATACACAATGGGATACTATTCAGCCTTTAAAAATGTCATTTGTGAAAACTGGATTGACCTAGGAGACATTATGTTAAGCAAAATAAGCCATTCGTATGGAGACAAATACTGTATGATGTTACCTATGCGTGAAATCGAAAAAAGTCAAACTCATAGAGGTGGAAAGTAGCATGGTGGTTACCAGTCTCCACCTGGGGGTGGGAGGGTGCCAAGTTTTAATAACACTCAAAGAATTTCTTTTGGCAAAACATAGCTGAAAGTAGCTGGTGGTAGTACAATTTATTTGCCAATTGTCTAAATAAAAACCCAGATTGAGAATAACATGATTTTGAAAAGAAATTCAATGTCTTATAGCCAACTCTCTTTATGTCTGGCTTATCCTTAACTTCCTTGCTTTGAATTTAGTATTGAAATAACTAAGAGGCAATTCTATCTAGAATAATGTTCTCTCACTATTCAGCTTTTCTGTTTCAGCCTACTTTTACTTCACATTTGTAATAAATGAAAATCCCAAATTACTTTTTGAACTGGGATATTAGTTTTAGACTAAATACCTATTTCTATGCAGTCTTTTGGTATTTTTTCAGCTAAAATTCTTCTTATAATAGTTATAATGTCAGAATAAGATATGTTTTAAATGAGGTAGGCTTTTAAATGAAAATCAATAGTGCATTTTCCATGAAACAAAATAGCTTTAAGAACTCCTTCAGACCTTATTTCTAAATATAAACATTATTTTTATAGGTCTTGGAAAGTAATTTTTATTGCCCAGTGGAATACTAAAAGGGTGTGGCAATTATATCTGATAATAGATGGTCTGTTAAATACTCACATTGAAATGTATCCAGTCTTCAGAGTAGAAAATTCACATCGGAAGATGTTATACCTTAATTAGATTCATAAATAAACTACCTGATACATTATTTATTTACCTATTGCAGGTTCCTCTGATTCATTTCCCTCAAGCAAGAGAAACAATTTTGCTTCCTGAAATTTGCGTATTCTTTTCTCCATCACAAACCAGTCTTCCTACCCCTGTCCCTTATAGATACAAATACGGGTGCATACACACATACAAATATACATACTTGCCTTTGCACTCACGCTTATTTTCCACCTTTATAATGCCTTCTCCTACCTTTCTAACTTTCATTGATTTTCATAGCAACCAGTGGCTCATAGTTGACTTTTAATATATGGGACCATAATATGAAGCAACATAATGGAAAAACACTGACTGTAGCTACATGTCAATATTTGCATTTTATTGCTCCTACTACTTGCATTATAGTGAACAAGTACTTAACCATTCTGTGTCAGAATGGAGAATGCAGAATCCAATTTGGGATTTGGAGGGTTTGCACGCTAAAGCACATGATATTGCAGCAGATATTTCATAGCTTAGCAATAATAATTAGTGTTAATATATGTCAAGAATTGTGAAGAGTTTAAGAGTTTATCTACCAGCAAGCTAACAAGTTAACTTGCCATAGTTTCATGGATGTTGGCGGAAGGCAAGATTGGGTCAGAGACAAAGAATAGCTAATGCTACAGCATATGTGGCTACAGCATAGCTACAGCAATGACAGTAGCCAGATTAAATAATTGTATAGATTCCTAACCCCACATTCCCACAGAGCGGTGTGAAGAGGGATAAGTGACACCTACATACATAGTGGTTTGTGTTACTGAGAGGAATCCTGGACTTAGGGAACCTGTTATAATAGGTGGTAAGACTGTCCACCCTTTGCCCCAGTTTATCATTTTGTATAATAACAAATCCATTTGCTTAGGATGTCGATACTACCTCTACTAATACTGTTCGTTATACAAATACCTTTGAAAAGATAGTTTGTAACAAAGGTGCTTGATTAGTGCTTGTATCTCACAGTGCTTAGTCTTGCATTTTTCTGCTTGAAAATCTCTAGTTGTTTTTCAGTACCTTTAAAAAAAAAAATCCAACCTCCCTATCTTGGCCTTAAAGACCCTAAATTGTCAGCATACTTCCTTGACCTCATCTTATACATCTCTACTGGCCTTCTTTCTATCTTCCAAACCCACCAACAACCTTTGCATTAGTACTTCCTTCTGCCTGGTATGTTCTTCCTCCAAATCATCACTTAGCTAGCTCCTTGGCATTCAAGATTCAGCTTGAATTAAATGAGAGAGAGAGAGCAAGACCTTATCTAACCACCCAGTGTAACACCACTGGCAGTCTATCACATCACTCTTATTTTTGTTGTTTATTGCCTGTCTCTGCCTCCCACCCCACCCTACCACATAGCATGTAAATTTGTTTTAGAGTGCTTGCCGGTGCACTGGTGCTTGCTCTCACAAGCTCTTTTCTCTCTTTCTCTCTCATCCTTGCAACAGTACCATTTAGTAGTTTCTTAGTAAGTATTTATTGAATGAATGTATGCACGCATGCATGAGTTAATATTGCTTCTACTCTATGGTTTTTGTTCCTCCTTTTTCCTTGTACTTTTTCATTCATTGTTCTGGTCAAAAATATTAAACTTCATTATTTGATTTCTAATGAAGAACTTGTACTATCTCTGGGGTTTGAAAAAAATGACTACTGCAGTAAAGAAGAAATAAAAGCCTCCCCCAAAATAATATGATAGTTATAGTTTATTGTACACTTTTCTATTTAATATCATTGGTGATCAACTAGCAATGTGATAATCTGTTTGGTTTCATTGGCACTTAAAATACAATCTCCGTTAAGAGGTTATAATATGATGCCATGCGGTTTTTTGGCACTTACAAAAAATTCATTTTTATTGGCTAATTCCCATTAATGCCATATGCGAGGCATATCTTGATTTATACAAGAAATTAAAAAACTAATCATATCTTTTGAGACATTCTTATGATTAGCATGCTATTATTTGGCTTTGAAATGCCAAATATTTCTTTAGTTATCTTTATGTTTCTTCTCTCTGTATGAGAAAAATTAATAAATGAGTGTAATATAAAGTAGCCATTACAAGATTTCTTCAACTGTTTTTCTTGTACTTGATAATTTACTTAGCAGAAGAGGTATGGAAGACTAATACAGTTGCTAGACACTCTTTTGGAAATGTATATGGGAAAGCAGTTTCGATTTATGAATTAAATGCTTTTTATTTTTGTTTCTGTCTCCCTTCTCCCTTTTAGTTAGTTAATTCCAGTAAGATGCAGATGTTTTAAACATAGAAGTTGTATTTATAGGTACATAATATTATATTTAACAAGGATTTATGTACATATCTTTTAAAAGATTGTTTTACTACATAAGAACTAACCATTATCTAAAAGATATTCAATCACAGTTCTACCTGGAGTATAATTTGAGGTTGATAATTGTTCATTTTCTTTTGGAATTACTGTGATTAAAATTGATCATTTTTCAAAATTTTTTCATAATAGCAAGCAATAAAGGAGAACATCAGAAAGAGAGAAGCAGAGGAAAAAGAAAAACGTGCCAGAATAGCTAAAGAATTAGCAGAGAAAGAAAGACTTGAACGCCAGCAAAAGAAAAAGCGCTTATTAGAAGTGAAGACTGGTGAGTGCTATGAAATTTGCTATTTATTCTATGTATACTTAAGATTTATACTGGCTACTTTATTAGCATTGTAATATACTTGGTGAAAAAGGAAAATATGATCACTTGTTTCTGTGATTAAACCATAGAACAATGGTTTCATGGGCTTTTCCTCCCTTTCGTTTGCTAACAAGTTGTGTCTTCATTCTGATGTTGGTCACATGTGATTTGGTCCCCTGGTATAGTCTTTTCGTTCCAGTGTGTTTGCATTGTTTTGACTACTACTTTGATAACCAATATGTAATAATGTATGTCAATTAATAAAATTAGCAACTATAAGAAACTGACCTGGGAAATTCTATAGGACATGTAACCTGGT